GTCAGGATTATTCCAGCTAAGTTGGCAAAGGGTGTGTGAATGAAGGTTAAGCCTTTCTGGGACTCGCTGCACTTTAAAACTTTGAATTTGAAAGCAGCGCTTTCTCTCTGAATTGCAGTGTGAATTGTTTTTCATTTAGTTCTGCCTGCTGATTTAGATAACATCATTCATTAACGCTAATAATAATGGCCCTGATTCACTAGAGTGCTTAAACATGCAAATAGCATCATTTAGGCCCACAGGAATCACTTGCTCAGAGTTAAATATGTGTTTTAGTGCTTGAGCAAATGGGAATCCCAATGCACTCAGTGAAGTAGAAATGTTGTGAGTCATGTTCATTATATACGTACTTAATTAATTTTAGGTTTTTTGATAAATTGCAAGAACTGTGGTGGAGCTGTAGAGTACACGTGAATAGAATTTAACCTTCATCAATGGGAGCTGTAGGTGGTGCCAGATTTGCACAGCAGTTGGTACAAGTATCCAGAGTTGTATATTCCACCCGTCAGGCAGCTGGAAAACGTCCTCTGCACTCCTCAGCACTTTGCCAAACCTTTATTTTCCTTCAGTGAATGTATTAAACCATGTAACAGCGGAAATTAGCCCTCATGATCCTTATTTTCCATCTGGAAGTACATCTGTTGAGAGGTACCCACAAAAAGGGCCTTAACGGGCCAGCAGAATATTTCTGGAGGGCCCCAGAAAAAAATCCATCCAGCGTGCATGGTGGAGACCAAAGCAGAAGTACAGGAAGCAAAGGAATTATTCAGTGAAACCAGATTTTTTCCACACTCCATATTTTCCTTCTCTGACAAGATATTTCATGCCTTCAAAATCCAGAATGGTTTTCCCATTGCAGGGGGGGGGAAGTCATGTCTTTATAACTGAACGGGAGAAGAAAGTTTGTGATGAAAAGGTTAAAGATGGAATCATCAATGGTATAGGTGGAAGTTTATCATCTGGCAACCAGAAACAGTAGCATAAAGGTTTTATCATGTCCTCTCTGAGCAGCACTCTAAACTGGACACGTGGGGTTTTACTGGTTGTTCTAAGGATAGTTGTTCAAGAAGGATTTCTTGGATCAAAGAATCTCCCCACAGAAATATTGCCTATGTCTTGCACTCATTTATTCAGCAGCTGCTGGAAAATGAGCCTAATTCTTCATCCAAAGAGTCTGACCACAATAATAGAGTGAAGTGAAAATGACCAAAGAAAAAGAATATAAATGGTGTCATTTTCAAACCCTGCCACTGGCCTCTGGGAGCAGACAGAAAGCCAAGCAGAAGGCATTGGCACGCCGAGCTCCCGCAGCCCCAGCAGGCAGCATCTGGGCACAGATTCGTGGTGGGCAGTTGAAGAACTCTTCCCAAGCTCCAGGGAGGAAACTTGCAAAACATCTCCAGCAAATCTTCAGGAAGGTCCTTCTTCTCCTTTCATTTATCAAGCTTCTCCACCCTCAGACTTGTCTCACTTTTTGGCTATCAGCCAAGGAGTTTGACCCTTGAAGTGGCAGACAAACAGTTTCACATGAAAACGGCCAGGCAGAAGTAACAATCATCAACAGCAACAGCAAACCAGTTACAGGTTTCAGTAGGGATGGACCCGGAAACTAAACTGTCAGATTCAGGGTGGTGCAAACCCAGCTTCAACCATTTGGGTTTTTTCTTGAAATGCAAGGCACTTCCTGTCAGGAAGAGCAGCTAATCAGGAAAGTTTCACTGATTCGCAGCCTTTGGTTTATCCCCAGTGGCTGGTGAGATTGCATCAATATGAGGAGCTATGGGTTGGGGGAACAGCAGTCTGAAAAGTTCTCTACTTCAGTTAAAAAACCCCAGGTTGCCATCTGCAGCAGCCACAGGGCATGTTTGTCACTGTTTTCCTACCTTTCTGATAGGTGGGCAGTTATTTTACGCATACTTTTTCCCCAGTGCTAGATCAGTTGTCTTTCATCTTTTATATTTTACTGCAACTGCTGCAAATAATCGTGAGTCCTTTCCCTCTGTGCGTATGCCATGTGAGGTGCAGTTTTCTTAGTCATCTGTGGGAGACACTCATGACTCAATGCCCAGCTCATGACTCAATGCCCAACAGGGGCAAAACTGATGGAGAGGCACTGTGGGATTATCAAAATACTCATACCTGCTAAGCACTGTCTGTCAGTGTTTCGTGTCACAGCCTGAGCTCACTGAAACATTTAGGTGTGCTACTCCTGCTTAGGTGCCTGCTTCCTACAGAAATGTGTGGGAATTAGCTATCTTGAGAATTAGGTCTGAGCTGAGTTTTCTCCACAGCTGAAGTCTATCAGTGCCTTTTCCCAAGGTGCAAAGGGAGCTGCTGGTTTGCAAATGGAAGTAGAAATTAACCAAATTTTCAAGTCAGTAGATACTCCTCCAAAATATCAGTCTCAAAAAGGTTTTAAAATGCTTTACACTGAATTAAGTTCAGCTTTTTGAAGGGAACCCAAACGGAAGCATTAAACAAGTCTCTGAGGGTCCTACAATAAGCTGCCCACAGTAAGCACCTTTAGAGCCCAGCAGAATGATTTGAGATAAAGAAACAGGTAATAAGGATGAGACCGTGCGTGTGTCTGTGTTTTGCTGACAGAAAGTAGCTGAGTCCTGTGGAAGCTGTGGCACCAAAGTCTCTTGTGGTTTGCACTGGTTAAGCCAGGAGCATCTCCACTGATAACAGAAGAATTATGCTGGGGCAAAGCTAGAAGTGAAGAAATTAAACCTCTTTTGCTCAGACTATCCCTCCTCCCCTGCCTCTTTGCTGACACAAATCAGGGACTTTCAGGAGTTCTGTCAATTGCATTTCAAGGTCCCCTGTGTCTCAAGCAAAAGCTTTCTCTGTCACAAATACATCAGTCAAAAAACAGCCCAAAAAATAAAACAGATGCCGTATCACCTCAAGACTCCTTTGTCTTTCAGTAGCTGTGTCAAGACAAGGTAACAGATGTACCCTTTGTTTGCTTTTAGATACGACAAACCCAAGCAAAGACAATCCCATGCAGTGCAATCACAAATAGCACAAAACAAGAACACACTATAGACACCAAAGGGAACAGGAGGCATGTGCAGGTTCTTCTAGGTATCTGTAAGGTTTTGAGGATCAAATATAGCCAGCATTTTTTTAGAAGAGATTGAAGCATTCAAACTAGCTATCTTGTGGGCTGAGTGCTACAAGACCAGAGAAGAAATTCACCACTACCACTACTATAACCTTCTGTAGCCAAGGCACCATCAGTATACCTGGTCAGGCCCTTTGTAACTGTTTTGTATTTAACAGGTGTGTAATTAAAGCACCAGAGTTGTGTGGCATTTGTTTAAATAAGTGCTGTTCCAATTAGCTAAGCTTCACAACTGCAAAGACCTTATAATAGGGAGCTGGGGCTTACATTAACAAGATATATTACTGAGAAAACAAACAAGTATCCCTTGCTGCCCTGCAGTTCATTTTCTTTCTGTGTCGTTTCAGCTCCAGTACCCCAAGCATCTCAGGAAAACATCATGCATGGAAATGTTTCATTCAAAGAACAATGTTGGCATGAGAAGAAATGGTTGTAAATATCATTAATTAGTTTAGGTTGAAAGTTGCAAGGAGTTTCCTAAACTGCAAGAGCAATCTGAGGAGTTGGGAACAGCCTGCAGAACAAGGAGGCAAGGGACATAGAGTGGTAGAAACCTCCCTGGCTTTTAGATGATGTTCAGTAAATTTCAGAAAGGGTGAGGTGACAAATGGATTGCAAAGGTCAGGGGCTGAGCTCGGTTCTTTGGGCAGTGCCCGTCAGGCCTTTTCCTCTGCATACAAGCGAACCACAGTTCTTATTCTGTTGTTTTACTCTGATGGTGCTAAAAGGCTGTACAGAATCGGTTGGAAAAAATGACTAATTAATAGCTCTTCATCTGTCATCAGATGAAGAGCTGACTATAGGAGGCAGCGGTGGTGGTGACCACTTCATCTGGCACAGCTGTTGCCAGGAGCAGCTGTTGTGAGCACAGCCTGTGATCCATACGTACAGTACCACAGGAACTCTGGTGGTAAAATCTATACAGTGACGCTGTGAGAGAGCGTGCTGAGCTCCTTTTGTAGTGGCTGCTTTATGCAAAGAGCAGGACTTCTGTGGATCCGTCTAACCAATGAACTACCACTTGTGTTTCTCCATTGTGATTTTTAAATACTGATAGCTTCTCTCTATCCCCCTGAAACTTGTAGGGTGCAAACTGTCTTTCTCCTTTACATACATGAAGGACCAAGGAAAGTGGATGCGTTTTCAGCAACAGATTTAGGCTTCCACTCCTTTGCTCATTTTCTAAGAATTGTGATGTTTGCTTTAGTCTGATAGTATAATTTTTCTTGATGGGTAGTTCAGACTTGAGACATTATTAACAAAGGTAGGTCAAGAAGGATAATTAAGAAGTACATATGCAAATTATAATGACATGCTCTGCAAATTTGCCTGTGACCTTTGGTTAACATTTTTAAAAGCCATCTGGATTGATTTATCTAAAAAACATTCATTAGGATATCATTGAGGTATTCTGCCATATGCTTAATTTTAAATGAGGCTTTAATTAAGCTACTCGCAGGCCTACAACTTAGAAAGATGTTAGAATTCCTTGCGACCAGGGCTCGTTGTCATGACGGTTATTCCAGCTCATGGGAAGTGCTTTATTTTATTTTTATTTTATTGTAATTTATTATTATTTCCAGATCATGGGAGGTGCTCTGCTTTAGCCAGAGGCAAAAGACTGAGAGATTCTCTTTGTACATGCGAACTCCACAGCTTCTGGGGAAGGTGTTACCGTTCCTGTATGGCCACGGAGCAGCCTCTAGAGGAGCTGGCGGGAGGCTGCGCTTGGTTGTCTGAATCTGAGCAAGAAACAGCCTTTGATAACTATTAATCATGGAATCTCTAACTTCCAATTGTGCAGTTGCTACCGTGAGTCTTTCCAGCAATACCTTAATTTAGTCACCACAAAACTGTTAATATTTCACTTTAATAAAAATACATAATATTTTGAAATAGTCTTGAATGATTCCAGCTTGAAAAATGAAAATGACCTTAAAATCTATACAGGGCAGTTCCTTTGGACACTTTTAATGCAATAATTTATTAAGTTCCTATATTCATCATGTGTGCACAAATATCATGTAAATATTACAGCTGTACTCCATGACAAAACAAGCATAATGCAGACATAGAATTATACAGAGAACTGACAAACAGAGAAGAAGGGAGGTCTAGTACTTTCTGTACAAAAAATATGCAGCTTTTTGATAATTTGTAAAAATGCATAACTTTTGGCATTTCAGAGAACACTGTATAAAAATAAATATTCTATGTACAATAACACACACAGGCCAGTCCAGGGTTAGAATCATCACTGCAAAAGAAAACATAAACGGGTGTTAGTGACAATTCACTAACAAACATTAGTGACAGCTCAGCAGGGGGAAGGACCACTTCATGGGACGGAAGGACAGTGGGACTGTGTGAGGGAAGCTGGCTCCCGGGTCTCCAGAAGGAACAGAGATGGTGCTGGATCTCAGCAACGATCCTTTGCACCTTTCCCACGCAGCGAGGATGGGAGGTTCAATCCAGCCTGACCCTTTGCCTCCACTTTTTGTGATCACTGTGGCTTGAGTACTGGGCGTTAATGCACACAGCAGGTACTAAAGTGGGCTAGACCCTGAGGAGTGGCAGAGGGGTCTATGGGAACCTCAGAAGGGGACTCCTGAGGCAGCTGAACCATCAGAAACAAAGGGAGAATGGAGGGGAGAGGGACTTACACCCCCTTTCAGTGTCAGCCCAGAATCGAGCAAACAACTCAATTTCCTTGGAGCAGGGTCTGCCCCTCGCCCTGTGGTGCAGCCCAGCTGCCAGGCCAGCTTCAGTGGGAGCACTGTGGAGTCTGGTGCCGAGAGCCCGACAGGGACATACAGGGGCCCTGAGCCACAGCTCCTTCACTCTGCCGAAAGCAAGTCGTGAACCTCTGTCCCACTGCCACCAGCCTCCTGTGACACCCAGGTTACCTGGGGTATGTATGCCAGCTCCCAGCCTCTGGGAACAGAGGTGACTAGGTGAAAACCTAATTTTTGTGCAAATGTTAGAGCACTTCAAGGCCAGGCAGCTCAAAGGCCACAAATAACAATTCTCACTGAAAAACAAGAGCAAGACCTGTAGCACTGCCAGTACAGCACAGTCACAACATTTCCAGGATTATTTTACCTTATTCCAGCAGCCTTGAACTGGAAGACCATCTTCCCCCTGCAAAAAAGATGGATGAAGCAGCAGTTTAGGAGACAGTAAATAGTGCAGAGATGGAGGAAAGAAGGAATGGGTTAACTATTACAGCTGCAACAAACAGTCTGAACCAGGACTGGAGGAATAGTCTGAGAGATATTCCTCATCCCTTCGGAGTGACCCAGGCTTCTGGCTGACCTAACCAGTATGCTTGGAGCAAGGGCTGGGGCTGAAGTGGGGGGTTGCCTGCAGGCTACACAAGGAAGTTATGTACACGAGGTCCGTAGGCTTGTTCTCCTTCCTCACTAAGGAAGGTGTTTAGCCAGGCTTCGCTGAAGGAAGGGGGAACACAGGAGGTCCCATTCAGCCCAGAAAATACTGCAGGAAGTTGGCAGTGGAAAGCGCACGATGCCTGGTCTATATCCTCAGGCTTGACTCTATAATGCTGAGGTTATAAGCAAACCCCAGAGGCAGCATTAACCTTGGGTCCTGAGGAGGGTCTGGAAAAAACCTCCATTTCCTTTCTGCCCTGTTTGTTAAAGGGTTTGCGTTATCCTGAGGGAGATTGCTCGGATGTCCCTTCCTGCCTCTGAGAAGATCCTGCTCCAGGGAAATTAGGAAGGCAAGCAGCTGGGCAGCCCCTATGCTGGTTGAGGATGTCTCAGCTGACTCCCTGAGAGTGGGCTTTTGCCTCAATAAAGTCAGTGAGATTTCTACAAAAATCCCCTGCCAGTTCTGCAACCCTGAAGTCTTGGGCCACACATCCCAAGGTTGGCATGTGAGCTGGTTTTTTTTCAATAATGAAGAAGGTTGTATACTTTAAGGGGTGTGCTACTAAAAGACTGAGGCTAAATAGTTGAGAAGTGCTTTTGTGAATTACTGCCATTAACTTCATCTCAGTGCAGCCCTACTTGATGCAAGAAAACAGGAAATTATGTCAATGATAGGGTGCTCGAGCAGGAGATAAAGTCAAAGGAGGTACGCCTCTAACATGAGAAGTCAAATACTTCTGCGGTGTGTGTGTGTGTCAGGTTCATGGACTATTCCTGTTCCCCAGGAAAACTCAAGAGCAGGGGCTGAAATTGTATAACACATGATCCAGGCACATTTCTTCCTTCAAATGACTCAGTTCTTACTTTTTCAAGCACTACGTAAGAAATCCGCAGTGCATATTGACCCACTGGAGAAGGGGAAAAGAAAAGAACCAAACAAAAAAGCAAATGCACAGTAGTATATCAAGAAATAAACTATTTAAAGGAGATGCACTTTGAAGGGACTGATGAAGTGAACGTTACCATACTGCTATAACCGTATTGCTTTTCAAATGCATTTTTCAGACTGTGGTCTCCTTGTGATATTTCTTCTCCCTCCCCCCCGCCCCGTGGAAAAACTGAGTTACAGGTTGATTACTGGGTAAATTGTGGCGTTCCCATTGGTACACTGGTGGTGGTAGGAATGACTGGTGTGGTACATCGCAGGAGGAGATGGGAAGTTAGGTGCATGAAGGAATGGGAGGCCAGGGAGTTACAGCTTAGGGATCAAAGGAAGACCAGGGTCACAAGGAAGTGTTTGTTGCAGGCGAATTTGCCGCGAACGGATACACGACATGCTTATTAGTACCAAGTATCTCCTTCCACATAGCTCAGATTTGTAAAGCATTAGTTCATGGCCTCTATAAGTTACACACATGGATGTGTCAGCTGGATGCTAAGCTTTTAACCTAGTTGGATCAAAAAACATGCTTATTCACATTCCCAAGCTAGCTTGCATGCCAGAACACTATATATAAAAAAATAATGGCATCTCCATTTCACCAGATTTTCTGGCAAGTTTCCTGTAACAAAAATAGGTATGAAAAGAAGTGTACATTCTACCATGGCCACGTGGGCTGAATCCTAACTGAGCCTACCAGGGCACTGGTAGAATCCTTGCGCCTGTGTAACTAGGTGTTTTACTCAGCCAAAACTTAGCCAGACACCTGGCTATTATCAGTGGGAGGCAAAACACATGGCTGTGGTTTTTTTCCTTTATGGACTGTTCTGGGCAGGTATGATTTCACCTGGGGGGTTGGCAGAAGAGTTTCTTTCTGTTACCCAGAATTTACAGAGCAGCAACTGAGACCTTGGAAGTAGTCACAGTTACAGTCACTGTCCCCAAGAGACAACGGCAGCGCACAAAGGATGGAATGCTGGAAGGAAGACTAATGTTATCTCTTCACAAAGGTCAAATAACAAAGGGTTTTAATGGCAATTTCAGGGATAGCTTCCTCAGGAAACTAAGAAAACTTTCCAGACTAAATGTGACTTTTTTCCTTGGGGACACATTTTTCCAGCTAGTGGAACTGATATCCTATCCCATGTAAATGGGATCAAACATCTTTAAGTGTGCATAAAGCTTGGAATGACCATCCTCAGGCACACCTAGTTATGGCAAACAGGGCTGCAAGGGCAGGGGAGTACGAGTTTCAGTGTATTATGGAGTTGTTGAGACTGCTGTAAGGAACAAAATCCTCACCTGAATGCTGCATCTCCAGAAAATCTCAGAGTAAATTAATAGACTGGTGATGTTTAATGGGATACTTAGGAATCAGTTGAGGTTAAGTGCTCCTGAATACCTTTGTCCTACAATAGTTGGGTTAGATGAGGCAATAAATACAATTATCATCCTTTAATACTTGAATAAGATGATATCGGGAAACAGGCAATGCAAAAGTCAAGTTTCTTGGGTGCTATGGGTACCATTTTGACTTCCGGGGAGAATCACAAATAGGAATTGTCTAGCAGCAGGCAAGGGAGATAAGTGTCCCGTTAATATGTTTCATGTTAGCTTGCTACCAGGATAACTATTTTTTTCAGTCATCTTAATGTATAGGGTGACTGAGGTAGTACTGAGTAGGGTTAGGCTGTGCTAGCCACATACAAGCACTTAAAGACAGAATTAATGAAAGATAGGAGCATTGCAGCTCCTTGCTAGAAAGCCAAGCCAGGGCAGAGGCAGATCTTCACACATTAGTCTACCAAAAGCTCTCAAAGTGAATGCAAATGAAGAATTGAAGCAGTTGTAAGTAAATTCATTCCTACTACTTTTTTTCCTCATGCCACAAAGCAATGCTGACAGCAGGTGTGAATTGTAGCACGAAGGCAAAGGCCTGTTTCTGACACAGCAGCGTGAGGGAAGGTAGGATGGAGATGGGTAAGAAAGGAATTGCAGGTGTTTCTAGGGCATGCAGCTATTCGGAGGTATCAGAAAATAACAACCAAGATAGAAAAAGCAAACGCACATGCAGGAAAGGGAAGGTACGCCATACCAATGGGCATGGGGCATCCAGGCCGTCCAGCCCAGGTAACCCCGGTTCACCCTTCTCGCCTTTAAAACCTCGGAGACCCTGTTTATGAAATCAACCACTATCATTATTTCAGTTAATGGCAGTCACCTCCATGTCATGGGAGGAGTGGCTGCGTCCCCCACTGGGACTGTCGCAGGGCACTCGGCTGCATACCCAGAGTACAGATGGACCACGTTTTCAGTTTCAGTTTTGTCTGCATCATTAGTAGGAGCAGTTTCCTTTCTGTTTTTCTATAATCTATGAGTCAGAAGATACTTCTCCAAGTTAAATCTGAGAGAATGGGAACAATGTTTCCTCCATTCTGAAATCATCCATTCTTCCTATCCCCACTAGGAAACCCAGCAGCTGGATTTCTGGATGCATGATCCACAAGTACTCCTGGGATTTATGGCAGCACTACAGATTTTTGGCAGTGTTTGCTGCAGCACATGAGTTCAGATGAAAATGTATACATATTCCTATATTTATTCATTTGTCTAGATTTATAGACAATATATTTTGACAGAAACGTATCCCATTTAAAATAACTGAGATCTGTTTTCCCTCTGGGCAATGCAGCTTGAGTGCCCTGTGTCGCTCTCGGGCGATCAGATCAGCTGGCCGTTATCCAAGGCAAGAAAAACAGCATTCAGGTTTTGCTGTTACATAGACATGATAACATGAAACATTTCCAGAGAAGAGCCATAACTAGCAGCAAAGGAGACACAGGGCTCTATCCAAAAGGAGAAAGCTCTGGGCTCCCAGCACATGGGACATCCCCATGTACCCCAAACCTTTGTGAGCTCCAGGAGAGGAAGGAATATAACCATGGTCACTCAACAGCCTGATTGCTCAAAGGATCTGTGGTTCCCCACCGAAGACAGCAGCTGTGCCATAGACTGCAGTGGGAACCAGGCTGGGCCTTATCCCAGTGTTGTACTTCTGCAAGACCATTATTTACATTATTATTTCCTTCTTTCTTCTCCATCAACAAATCTTAAAACAATACATTTGATGAAACAGAACATACCAACGGACAGGGTGCATCTAATCCAGGCGCTCCTTGGTCTCCCTTATCCCCTTTAGACCCTCTAGAGCCTTTCTTGCCCCTCTCCCCCTGTAAATAATAGTTTAGTCCAAGAAAAAAAAATACACAAAAGCTTTAGGATCATCCATTTCAAACAAATGTCAGTGATAGTTTAAAAAAAGGATAAACATTTAGGAAACATTTTAAAAGAAGAGAAATCTTCCTTTGAGATGTTAGGTGAAAAACAATATATGGTGCTCCTAGCCATTACTTATCTGCACAAACACAGGGGACTAGCCCCAAGCAGCACAGCCACAGGGCTGCGACTGGTCCCTGGCCCTCTTTTTTGGCAGCACAAACATACCCCAGGAAGGTGGGACTCTTACAGGGGTTTGAGACTACAATTTCTCTGTAGGCTCCAGTTTGAGTTACATCAGAGCCAGGGCAGGAAGGAAACAAATTTAAAAATTATAACCAAAGAGGAGGCTTGCTCTCCTGTGGAGGGGCAGCATTAAGTCAATGAAAGCCAGCTACAAAAGGGGCTGAGGGAATGCCCAGATGCCCTGTTGCTCCTCCTCACTCAAGGAGGATACCTCCCACCCACAGTAGGTCAGGCAAGGTATAGGATGGGTATTTGACAGTTACATCTATACCAAATCTTTCTGTATAACAGAGGAAATTCTCAAAACTGCTGAGCATAAAACAGGGGGAAGGGGCTGCCACACATGGAATTTAGGGTCCTTGTGGGGACGGTTAGAGGAATTAAGGGATAAAATCAGACAGCACAGGTTGCTGTTTCTTCTTTAAAAAAAAAAAAAAGTGTTAAACCCAAAGCTGGCAAGAGAAATGGATGTGAGGGGAGAGGCAATGAGGAGAAGTCACCCAGAACCAAGCACTGGAACAGAGAGGATAATCCAGGAAAATGTAGCGTGGGTTGCTCTGGAGGAAGGAGGAAGGAACCAGGAAGAAAGGTGGAAGAGGAGGAAGGGATAAAGGGGACAAGGGCGGACCTGTAGGAGCGAGGAAGACACATATACACACAAGAAAAAAACACAGGCATTAAAATAACAATGAAGATACCAGCTTGGTAACATGAGTTCAGGGTTTACACTTTTTCAGCCGGGTTACTTGAAGGGCCATCTATTCCCATTGCTACCTAGTGCCATGATGCTGTCTCTGCCTGTCCCCAGGTGCAGCTGTGCTATACTCCTACACCAAACAAAGGCCAGCAGGAGTGCTTCTGGGATTTAAAAAGCACTGCTCTGCCTAAAGTAACAGAAAGGATTTTGGCAAACTATTCAGGAGCTTAACAAAGCAGATCCTCATTTTTAATGTACTCAACACTGAAAATCTTCATATCAAAGCGCTATGCATGCTGCTGCTCTCTAAAAGAAAGAGCGGCATTTCAAATTAATACATCTCCCACTTCCAAAGAGGTGGGTGGTGTATCCCAGCCCCCTGTGGAGAAGGTCAGAAGTGGTGTGTTACCTTCTCTTTTTCACTTCACAGCTTTCTTCTCGTTCATTTTGCAGTCTCCTGGCTGAACTGCCGCCATAGTTTTGCCAGCAGTTGGGAGAGACTGTCCCATGCTTCTGGGAGGTTCTGTTGCAGAAGCCACATGTCCCACTGTAGGGGAGACCTAGCACCTAGCTGGGGATGCTGGGTTGCAAAGGGAATCCTGGGGAACCAGCACTGTGTCCAGTTCTGCTAAATGGTACTTGTCAGATGTCTCTAATGACTTCAGAGGGGTGAAGGCATTCAGATAGGTACTCAGCAGAACTGTGCTGTTTAACTCTTGTAAATAGTAGTGCAATGACCTGTTCACAATTTTTGAAGAGGGGCAGGACTGAGGGGAAGCCCCTGTACAAAGACTCAATGGGAAAAGTGGTATTTTCTAGGATCCCACCTGCAAAGATATTGCACTTGCCCATTTACAGTCTCACATTTTTTCACTTCCAAATATTGGTTGCAGTGAGGCAAAGTGCACACATGCTTCAAGGGGCCAGCAAAACTTCCACTCATGCTTTCCAACTCACCTTCTACAAGGAGCTGCAGTTTCTCCCACTTTTCATTTGCCTTTATGTGAGAGCTCAAAAATCCTACCTACAGCTAATGAAAGATTCTTCTTTTAAATAAAATACCCAGTTTAAAAACCAACTGAAAAAGTCTAGGAATTATGCTATTTTTTTTAGAAGCCACACAAACAAAACAAAATGCATCTTAGTGAAGAGGAAGTTAAGAAGCAAAGCCAGAAATGCAATGATTAAAGAAGGAGAGAACTTTGGAGCTCCCATGAAACTTGGACCTTTCTCCCCTAGTTTAAGATGCCAGTTGGCTACTGCTTTCCAAAACTGCCCAGTCTGTGCAGAGTAAGGTCATAAATACATTGCAAATAAAGGACTGAGAACACTCACTATGTATCAAAAGCAAATTCATATCATGAAATCACTACACGGGCACATGCACTATAAAACTACGTTTTCACATAAACTTAGGTGATACCAGAGTCTTATGAAGACAAGGTGTACGTGTATGTATGAGTACATGCATAAAGATAAATACGTGTACTGTATTGAATGGCTTGACATACTTATACACTTGTAACCTTACGAAAACTCTAATCCAGAAGTCATTTATATTTCTAAATGTAAATTATATTCATCTATAGTGCTCAACTGGTTTTGTCAAAAAGATTCAGAGCCTTAACAGGTAAGAAATTCCTTATGCTGTGGAAAGCCTGATGAAAAAGCAAGGAGCTTCTCAACATGTCCTTTTTAGTAATGTTTGTCTTTCTGTAACACAGGTGGTATGACAGAAAAGCAGCCGTTCACGTTACTGTTTTTGACCCAACTTTCCCCCATCACATCTGTTCAGGACAATGCCTGAGGAGACTTCATGTCTGATTCTTTAAGGTAGGCCAAATTAATTTATCTTTTCCAAATTTCTACCTTCCAAATTATCTGGAGGATCATATGCTAGAGGTCAACCTTCTTTTTCATGCTTCAGGAGGAATTTAAAAGTAGTGTAATAAGATTTGCTGGTTCCACCTCAGTTAATTCTTGTGGGAATTCCTACACACACCAGTAAATAGATAAGCAGGATTTTCTAAAGCATGCCATGTTGTCCTAGCTCTACTACACATGAAGTCCTGTGCTTCAGTGAGAACAGAGCTATGACCACAGTGAACAATTAGAAAATCCCTCCTTTAGCTTTCAGATAGATGTACCACAATGTCCCAGGTGATTATACAAACTACAGGTATCACCTTCTAAAATACAAGTTTGTAAAGTTACTTTATATACAAAGATTTAGTAGACAGAAGTACATGCCAGCTACTTGGGGTTGCTCAGGAGTTAACCTGTCTATCACTGTGCGAAGACGTTAGTAACTAAATTGAAGAAGTCTGCCTGGTAACTTACCCGGATTCCTTTGTCACCAGGTAGACCTTGTAAACCCTGAAATGTATCAACCCAAAAATAAATAATTTGAAACAAGTAGGCCCCATTATATTCTCACTCAAAAAGAAGAACATGTGCCCAGGAGTTTGGTTTTTTCCATTTGTACCAGTTGCTCTATAGTAAAAAACCACAAAAAAACCAAACCCCAAAATAAAAAAAAACCCAAATAAAAACCCCACAAAACCAAACCAAACAAACCCCAAAACTTTTCCAATCTTCTTTTCACCTCCATTAGACCACCCAGGTTGTAACACCACTACTACTGCTCTAAGGGTTCTTCAGATGAAACCAAACCAGTTCAGAGAATGCAGTCCCCAAAAAGAGCAGCAAACTTCCCTTTTTGTGTTAAGCAATGAAGCAGCTCCATAATTACATAAACCTAGAGTTCCAACACTGGCCCCATTCTGCAAAAAGCAATCCCAAACAGTGGAGTTAATCTTGCTGAAGGCAGCTTTTGGCACTGCAGTGGCAAGACAGAGCCCTCTCAGACAGGTGGAAGGGACATACCCAAGCTGTGGAAAGCTAAACAGAGCAGATGTGCTCAAAAGCAGCATTTTGGACTAAGATACATATCCTGGGAGTCCTGTGCAGCTTCTTCTCGTATTTTGAGGACCAATGTGAATTAACAGTTTCCCTTCAGCTTCATCTACCTCATTCTGAATCATTGGTCTGAAGCTATCAAGCTCTTTCTGTTGCTCCCGTAGCATACATAAGCTGGTGACTTTGGTTCTTTAACACCTTCAACACCTCTTTAATACCTCTCCTAGCTGAAATTGCAAATGCTGTACTACAGCAGCATCTTAAGCTATCAACCACAGCAAGGAAACAAGCACTGTAGATAACAAATCCCTGGTACTCCCATACTTACGGGAAGCCCTGCTGGCCCCATTGGTCCTACAACTCCAGGATCTCCTTTACTACCCTGAAATAGGGACAAAAGAGTAGAAATTGTTACATTCCTGTTCAGCACAAACAGGCAGCACAACAGTGGCTACAGCAGCACTACAGAAGAAAAGTGAAGAACACATTTCAAAGCACTAAAATCACCAAGGATGAGATGCTCAAAGATCAAAGAGGCCCAGCTGAGGGTCTTATATATGCAAGGAGAGAGCAGCTCCAGCTCTAGAAAAACCTAGAGCTTTTCTCTCCCATGGAGCTGCGCTATCTTCAGAGAAGTTACAGAGCACTGGTCAGCTCTGAAGCAAACTCACCCTTTCTCCTTTTGGTCCTGCTGGTCCCGAAACCCCAATTGGTCCTGGAGTACCCTGTAGTTGTAGGAAAGAAAACACATTGGGAGATTTTTATTCTAGGGCCTCATTAAAGCCAAGAGATGCTGCTGCTCCTTTAAGGAAAAAAGCACAGCTGGGAAGGACAGTCTGGTGGTGGAAGGCATCTAGCACCACTACAGCTTTCAGTGTTGGCGGCGATGGATTTGAAGTAGTTGTTCTAGGCAATTTGAAGAACATGGGGACGGCTATATTAGATCACACCAGCACCATTTTACAGAGCCTTATTTTTAATTTTGAAACGATCTCTTGACAATTGTTACAGCAGGCATTTCTACTAGTTCCACAGGAGGGAATTTTTTCTCTCTAGTTTATGTCAGACAAGGCTGAAAGCTGTAGTACAATAAAGGACATTTAGATATATGATACACAATTTTTTCTTTTTCTTTATTTCCTTATTTTGTGTCTTGCCCCTGGAGTCAGTTGAGTTGAGCGAAAATGAAAGAGTTTGGTTACTTGGTGACAGGGAGCCAGTCAGTCATGCAAGTGGAAAGACACCATGCTGCAGAGATGAATGCAGATGCATACATACACAGATGCAAACCAAGAGGGTACCATTCAGTCCCAGTCCCTCTGTTCTGTTTTTGCTGTTTATGTCACTCCGCCAAGCTCTCAATCATGCTAACAGGAAAACCCAGTCTTTTTGTGAATCCGTTGACATGAGCCATACCAAAAGCACTTCGCAGTGCTGCTGAGACCTGCTTGGACATTGGAAATTAACCCATTCAAAGCTTATCCTTTATGTGGGCAATAGTCCTTCTGACTAAGGAAAAGATTCAGGTGCTTTCAGCTCTGTACAGACTTCTTGAACTTGTAGAGTATTGCATGTTGGAGGGTCTCTTACAGCTCTCCCAGACCACAGTGGAAGGCTCTACTTTAGCCTTCAAATCTGTAGTGCGCAGTACACCCACCTCACTTGCACAGTTTAGGTAGGCATTTGCTTTCCTAACCTTAGATCACATCCTTTTAGATTGGGTATTGATGTACAATTCCTTCATGGAGCCTCAATAAAGGAATACTTTGAAGCCTACAACCTGCCTTCTGCGAAAAACAAAGGAAGAAGTTTCTGGAATAGGGAAGTCTTTTTCTAACAGCCTTAAGGAAAAGGGTCCTGCACTTTTTAATGTGAGTTTGCAATCCTTAGCCACTAAAGTAACCCCTCCAATGTGAGCAGGATGACTCATGGATCAGGAGAGCTTTTCAGACAAGATTAAGATCTGCAGAACATAAGTGGAGAAGTAATTCATGCAGCACACAACTTCAGTGCAGTGAAGGAAGTGAGAAAAATCAGACTCTCCTTAGATCCATGCTCAGGAGTTTGCATCACAGAAATCTTAATTGCCTGCACATATGCATCATTTCAAGATCATTTAGTGCTGTGAAATACATTGAGATCACACCTGTATATTTATAAAATTAAATCTACAATTTCCCAAAACAACTGTGAAAGCTGCCATTCAGATTGTGTTCAGAAGTTACAGAGCAGCTGAATTATTTCCAGTTATTCTTTTTAAGTAGCCAAATGGACTGCATGTGGGTGATGCATGCTTTCCCAAGAAGGATTAAAAATATTTGGCCCTTTTTTAACAGCTGTTACCCAAGAATAGCAGAACGGTTTGCAGAACCAGGTTAGCATTACTTGCCTCATTCTGCATTTGACAGACTAAGCAGCTTAAGCACAAGGAGTTTATTTCCTTCACATCTCACAGTGAGTTAGCAAAAAGAGGTGGGACTCTTGCATCTTCCTGCTCCACTGTTAGATGTTGCTACGTCTCAGGTGTATATATTAGGCTGGAACACACCCCGTCAGCCCCACACCCAGGTATACAGGACTGAAGAAAATCACATTTGGAGTTGCTGAAGTTGCATGGCATTCTGCTGCTGAACGGTGAAGGGCTGGTGCTGGCTGCAGAAGGCATCTTAGATGCAACTTCTCCTCACACTGAGATGCTTACCAGGCTACGGAGAGACACCTGTAAGCACACCTGCAACCCATGGCAACGCAGCCCTAAGTGCCATGTGTGAAAACAACACACAAAGCTTTTTGCTCACAGGACAAAACACATTGGCATTGTGGTATCTAAGACAAAACTGAAGAGCTACTGTTGTGAAAAGGTGGCAAGCAAGGCTACCATGGAGAATGACAGGCTAGAGACCTCTCATGATAAAGACAGCAGGAGAACAGAGCATCATGGAACCATGCAGAGGTTTCATTCATCTTGTTATTGAGATAAAGTGGAACAAATAGGGTGTGATCCCGGAATCCAGACAGACTCGTAACATCAAAAAAAGACAAGTGTGTGACATCACTTCTCAGTCTAAGTTTAACCCCCCTCCCAAGCCTGCTTTGGAGAAAAATAAGGTTATTCCTGGTGTAAACAAGAGACTCTGGTGGAAGAGACGAGACAAATCACGATACTGGGGAGAAGGAACGTAGGGTAATGGAGAAATGGAACTCACCGGTGGTCCAGGCCTGCCGTCTAAACCTGAAGCACCCTGAACAGATGGGGAGGGTTAACAAAAACAAGGCAAGAGGAGAGGGGAGGAGGGTGAAGGGAAAGGAGAGGGGAGGGAAGAGGTGAGTGAAGCAGTGACTTGAGACAAACATATGCTTGCAATAAACAAAAATTAAGATCTCAAGGACAGGTGATGGTATTTACAAGCAAACCAACAAAAACATAGAAACACTGAATACATATAATGTTGACCTTTAACTTTCAGATCCCCTTAAGAATGCAAATTTCCCTCTCTTGGTGCCACTAAGAAAACCTCTGAGGAAGATGCTGTTCTGTGAGAGGTGATGAAGAGTCCAGTGTGACAGTGGAGTTGAAACCTGCATTGCCTATGTGGCAGGCTGGGCAACACAGATGAGACAGAAGTCTCAAGGGCTCAAAGGCCTGTGGTCACAGAGGCATTTGCAAGCAGTGTAGGACCATCAACAGTTCAAATTCCTACCAAGAAACTCAGAGTCCTGTAGGTGCACATTTAGTCAGGTACAGACTTGCTCCACTATGCATCTCTTGGCCAGAGGAAGAGGCGAGGAGCCAGTTGTTTGGAGGTTTATAAAACAGGTGGCTCATCTTCCTGTGTCACCAGGGCAGACTTACAGTAAATTAAGTGGCACTTGGCTCTTGCCCTGAATTTTTTCATCCGTAAGACCTAACAGTGGTTCTGCCCAAGGCCCATCTAGCCCAGTGTCTTATCTCTGGCAGCAGCCAGGAGAGAAAGTTTAGGTAGAACTTTAGTACAAAATACTGAGTTCTCCTCCAGAGAATGACAAATTCCTTAGCTTGTTGGCTATACAGAGAAGCCCAAGGCTACTGCAGACAATCAGCGCTGAAATGTACTGAAAATTTGGGCACAGTATCAAGCCCAAAGTCACACATGAAGAGGCAGCAGATCCAGCTGTTGGATTTTACAGAGTCTGTCTTTGAAATATTTCAGTACCCGTTTGACACTTATTAATACAACTGCATTTAGTCTGACAGGCTGAAAACACATTGGATCAAGCATGGAAAAGCTCATGAAGACAGTTAGGTAGCTGTGAGGAGGGTTACAAGGTCCACAATATCTCTCTGACCCCACTAACAGCTCAGTAACTGTGCTTCCTAGTTGGCCAGCTGATATTGTTGATCCAAACACAAAACATCTCTAAGAGGACAGTTCTGAAACAGTCTTCCCCCTCCACAGCTCAGGAAGAGCAATGTGAAAAGCCAAGGGACCCTTGTTTCTCATGGGGCTCACTGCTGTAAGAGACCAGCTAGCACATTTCTGCCACACTGATGAGCTTCTGTGGGCAATTGCTGGGGCATCTTCCGCTCAGACTGTCACAGGGACCTCCTTCCCCTCTCCTGATACCACACAGACTTGAGGCAATAACTGTTTACACAGAAAGCTTCCATTTGCATTTCTCGGGGCAAAATGGGGGCTGGGTTTTTACTTCTCACTGCTTCGCTGAGGCACAGTCTTTTGCATGTGAGCCTTCCAACAGTATCACTTTCTCCCCACTGGCTCTGCGTGAAGCCACAGCAAATACACTCATGGTGAGCTCACTTGAGTGCCTAGAGTCAGACAAGGTGCATCCAGGCCCTGGAAGGTAACTGCTATATAGCACAACTAAAAGAGGAAAACATCTTACAAATAAAGACACACACATTTCAGCCAAAGTCAGGGACAAGGGATCTGGGTGATCGAACGGAGGCTGACAAAGTCACACAGTACACAGGATGCGCTTTGCAGTGCTTGTTTCCAGGCAGCATGATCAGCAAGTGCTTTCTACAAGCAGAGAACCTGCGGACTGGCAGAGAAACTGGGTGGGACTGAGTCACCACTAATTCATTATCAGCTGTCAGCAGAGTCTCGGGGGTGAAGAGGCTTTTAACAGATGTGAGCTAAAAGCTCTACAAAGCCTTCAGGTTCTAAAACTCCTGTAGCTTCTTCATAATTCTGCCAAAACTCCTCCTTGCTAAGCTAAGCAGTGTGCTAACACTACTCCAGTGTGACTGAGTTCACATACAGCAGGGAACACAGCAGGCTGCTACCTCCCCAGGGAAACCATCAATTCCATCGCAGAAGTGATTGTTAGAGTATTGTCTAGTGAAGAAGCTGGACGCATTCAGAACCACCAAGCTTTTGTACAAAGCCTGGCTGAGGTGACAAGCTGCTGGGAAGGTGTTTCCTTTTCCAGGTCCTTTCGACTTCTGGTTTTGGTCTTGCCCCATTGCCTCAAAGTGCAAAGAACCCACAGGAAAGCTACTGCTTGTTTTTCCCCATCCTACCAGAAGCAGAAAGAATTCAAGTGATCACTGATCTATTTAACAGATCTAAAAGATGAAGGTTCTGTACGGAAATTGAGGCTTTAAGTTTAAAAAGCAAAGGCACAGTTATTTAAAGATCATCTTTCTTTGACTTTGCATATCAAATCCCTGCGTGCGTCTATTGAGGGATCTTTTTACAGCCGATACAAGTTTGGCCCGTAAAGTGCTGCTTGCTTCCTGGATACTTACGGGTAATCCCAGTGGCCCTCTGTCTCCTTTTTCACCCTGGGCACCCTTCTCTCCTTTCACTCCATCAATCCCCGCTTCCCCCTAAAGGAAGGATGGAGCAGAAAATAAAACCGCTGCAACACCACTTATATAACAAACATTCCTCCCTTCAGAGAGCGCTGAAGCAGCAGAGGGAATACAAGAGGCAGTGGGGCAATGCTTTAGCCTGATTCTCAGCCCAATGTGAAGAAAACCAGAATCAGTCAAACGATCTCTGTGTGAGCACCTGCTTTAAGTCAATGGCAGTAACAGGAGATTCAGGCCCTGTGGGTGAAAACATTCAAATGGGAACTGGGCTCACTTCTCTGTAGCTCTCTCTGCTACTGCAGGGAGTGTCAGTAAATATAAGTAACCAGAAGTTATCTGATAGGGGGTTTTACATTCTAAGATGGGGATCCATTGGAACTGAATGACATATGTCTATAAGCTTTGAAGAAAAATCATGCTGAAATATTTTTGGAAAGACTTTTGTAAATACAAAGGCATCAGTTTAAAAATTTGGGAAAAAATAATTCCTTTTCCAAAAGGAATTTTCCTAATTCCTTTTCCAATTATAAACTATAAAGCAGTATTAAACAAAAATATTCCTTTTTCATAAATTCAAAATGCAACCCAAAGCTTTTTCCCCCCCCACTCCTGTTCAAAACACATTTTAAAACACTATCTTGGTTGCATTTTGAAATAGAAGTGTCAGAAGAACCAAGTTTGTACAGGAATAGTAAACCTGCTTGCCGTACTCTTCTAGAATTGCAGGACAGCACATTGCTCACTCCACCAGCACTCATTTCCATACAGCCACGTGGCACTGCCCTACAACAGTGTTTGGCTTGAGCACATACCTGCAAGAGTTACTTATTTCTGACATGTCTGCAAGAGGGTATACCATTCTCATCCTTGCCACTACTGAAAGCCTCATTACAAAAAGACTCATTACAAATTGCAAGACTGGAACAAAACCTTCCACATTTGGGACATCTCATTGCACCTGCCAATAAAGCCTACATGGATCCTCTGTTAAGGGAGAAACTGGTGCAGTACTTCCTCTGCCTATAATCCAGGCTGTGCTGTGCAAGACTTTCACCTGCATCTGTTTGGCAGATATTCCAAAGACAACTGCACCTTACGGAAGTTTCCCAGACACGTGATAGCAGTGGCTGGTGAGTTACAGGCACACAAGACAGATAACTGTACCTGTAATCAACACTTGGAGAGAAGATGGATCAGGTAAAATATACCATCCCCTTTAGCACCCAAATAGTGCCAGTAGCCAAATATTAAGCATAACCAGAAGAATTAAAACAGTTTGCACATTTTCCAATTTTTGCCAAGAATGTCAGAGGAAAAATGCAGCTCTCCTTGAACATTTCCACTCCAATGTCTTTTTCATCTAGGTACTGTTTTACGGCAGGCAAACCAATGGTGCAGGCTGAGCATAAACACATTTAGATGGAGATTATAAAGCTTCTAGTCTCCAAGAACAGTGAAGTTCTTGAGTGGCTTTACAGCAAAATTTACAGGGTACAGAACCTGTCTAGTTTTAAGTTAGAGCTCTGTTACTTAGGATCATATGACAGGGCATCCATCCTGCTGTGCAGACCTTCACCCTTCAGAGAAAGATTTCAACTATGTTCTCATGGGAAGATTTCCAAGGGCCAGTGGCTTCCCACTTCTCTGGGTGAAAACAAGAGAAAATGACCAGTTTTCTGGGTCCTAAAATGAGAGCTGCTCATCCACTTCCTTATGGAAAATATTCAGAAGTATTTGTCCTCTTACCAAGGTGGTAAATACCATTTGCAAGCTAGAAAGTTGTTCCTGAAGAATTCTTGCACCTGGAACAGTCTAATAGTATTTCAGGATGTAGTGTTTCACACTTACCTTCGGTCCTGGCAGGCCCGGAAGACCCTGTATTTGGGATGAGAGACAAGACATGAGTAAAGTTTAAGGATGTGCTTTAAAACACAGGGATCCCAGTTCGGTGCGCAGCATAGAGCTGTCGCTTTCTAACGCACAGAGGGCACTGCTTAGCCCAGGGGCCCCTTTAGTTGTGTAAAGGGCACTGCATGTACTGTTCTCATCTGGTAACGGGCAGGCACTAGAACACCCTGGCAGTGGGCCAGGCTTGCTATTAAGACCGTTTTTGCAGTTGATCTCTTTAATCCCATCCATCCCCTCTTGCTACTGTCTTCCCTTTCATCTCAGACTAACGTAACCTTCTCTCTTTACCTACCCAGCCCATCATAGCTCTGACCTACCCTGGGGGGTGGTTTTGGAAGTGACAATAAGCATGTTCCCATTTAAACGCTGCAGTGTCCCTGGCTGTTTTCTCCACCCAGAATCCTCCCAGATACTTCCTGCTCTGTCCTCATTCCCAGTGACTTTCCTCTCAGGTGAATCACTCAAAACTTACTGGCGGTCCTGGTGGGCCTTGGGGTCCGGGGGGGCCAGATAGCTAGAAAGCAATGCAGGAGAAATCACTGTTGTAGTCTTCTGCCCTCAGAGGTGAAGGGGAACTGCTCAAAGGGAAGGAAGGCAGGGCAGAGGGTGCAGCTGAGCTCTATCGTGCTCAGAAACCTGGACTCCCCCTAAGGACTGTGTTTGGAAGTGGCAGCAAGCCAGGACAGAGAGCCTGAGAAGCAGCAGCAAGACTCTGGGGATGGTTATGCAGCAGTTGCAGAGATTTAGGAGGGAATCTGTGAATTTTTTGTTCACAGAAAAATGTCTGCTTCCACTACACTACCTTGTTCCTTCAAGGAGGCACAAGGTCAACAGCTTGCAGCTGTTTCAAAAGATGGGAAAGAAGGTGGCTGGTTCCACACATGCATGTGGGACCCCTAGCTGTGGGGTGCTACCAAGACTAGGAGTGAGCTTTGAGGGGAGAATGGACAAATTCATGAACCCAAAACCTATTGAAAAATATATATAGATAGATACATGCAGGTATTGTTGGACATCCCTTCACCACAAATGCTGAAGAAAATATTCGTTATGCTTTACATCATCTTCTGTTTTTCCCTAGGCATTCATTATCAATAGCTTGTGAGCTAGATCGTTCTTGTGTAGAGAAAAAGTAGGGCATCAGGAGCTAGGGGTGGCTGGCAATTCACTCTCACAAGATGGGGCTTGGTGTCCGCAATGAAGGGTGTGTCATAAGAGGGTGGGATGTACTGGTTTTGGGCAACACTGCTGCCAAGTCATCCCTCTCCTATTGGTGGGACTGCAGAAATAAAATAAGAAAGGTGACCTACCGATTCTCCTGGATTTCCTTTGTCTCCACGCTCCCCAGTTTTGCCCTTCTCTCCCTGCACACAACAACAGACCCTGTCACCACCAGCCGCACTCTGGAGTCTCTCTCCATCAGAAGCCATCTCTGAACCACCCGTATCCCGAGAAGCAGCATATGCTGAGATGCTGAGGCATCTCGGCTGACTTGGCCACACAGGCTCTGTGGGCAGCTGCCAGCACCTCCAGATGGCAACAGTAGCAGATGCCCACCTGGGCCCCCTCCTGCTGCTGGATACCTGACCTGATGGACATTTGGTGACACCCAAACACCTAACTCTAAGGGGTAGGGGTCTGAGGCTCCCAAGATACACGGCACTTTGGGAAATGAACCATTGTGTGTTGCTCTGCACTGTTTGCTCTTTGCCAAGCAGCAAAGAGCAGTCTTTTTCACTCTTACTGTCAATCCTGGAAGTCCGATGGGACCTGGCAATCCTGGTGGTCCTGGCATCCCTTGGTCACCTCGTTCACCCTTCTCTCCAGTGGGGCCATCAAGACCCTACAGATCAAGAAATATTTTTGGACTTTCTGCAAGACTAATTCCAGCAGACATATGAGACAACATCCCAAGAGCTGAGACTGGCTGTGGTCATCCCAAGAACATATCAAAAACCCCAGACAACTATTACGTGCCAAGGGCAATGCAGGGCTTCACTAGTATTGAAGCTGGATATGCAAATGCCTGAATATCCTCCTGTCACTGTGGATGTGCTAGGCCCCAGAGCAGAGATGGGGAACTGCTTTCCAAGTTCTGCTCATCACAGAATCACAGAATCACAGATTGGAAGGGACCTCGAAAGATCATCTAGTCCAATCCCCCTGCCGGAGCAGGAACACCTAGATCAGATCACACAGGAACGCATCCAGGCGGGCTTTGAATGTCTCCAGAGAAGGAGACTCCACAACCTCTCTGGGCAGCCTGTTCCAGTGCTCTGTCACCCTCACCGTGAAGAAGTTTTTTCTCATATTCAAGTGGAACCTCCTATGTTCCAGCTTGAACCCACTGCCCCTTGTCCTATCACTGGATGTCACAGAGAAGAGCCTGGCTCCATCCTCCTGACACAATGGTTATGCAGTTTGCTGGAGCCGGTGCTAGAAATCTCTCCAAGAGCCAGCTGTTGTGATAGCAAGAGCTTTATCCTAGTAATCTTGTAGAAAGGCAGAACTCCTTGCATAAAACCCTCTTGACTACTGCTGGGGACACAGAAGTTGTGACAGACTGAAGCTGGGAGACTGGGCACTCTGCCCCAGTTAGTAGCAAGGATGTAAGGAATTACTCCACGCAGTTGCCTTCTAGGAGCTGTTATCTCGGGTGCCTTGCTCACAGTCCGGCCTGCTTGCTTACAGCAGTGTTTCAGTTTAAGCAACATGCCAGGCAGAAAGCTGAGCAAGTGACAGTGCCCAGAGAGGAGGGCAGGCAGCTGGAGACGGCCACTCCAGCAAGATGGACAACACATCTGCCAGGGAGCCAAGACCTTGCTTCTGCATTGGTACACTTGATATGGCAGCGATGAGGTGCCTCCAGCACCCACCCTGGAGGGGCTCTGAGGTATCCCAGGGCCTTGTCCCATAACCTGGACAGCCAGCAGTGCTCCAAGAGGCTTCAGTTTACTCACTGGTGAGCCGGCTTGTCCCGGCTCTCCTTTATCGCCCTTTTCTCCTGTGGCTCCAGTATGGCCTGGCTCTCCCTTTATTCCAGGTGGTCCATCCTTTCCTGGCAATCCAGGAGGGCCAGGGGGGCCCATTTCTCCAGGCTTGCCACGTGGTCCCTAAAAGAAATACAACACAAAGTGAAACATTTACAGATAGAGTAAAGTTACTACTGCAGAGCAACTTCCTGCCCAGAGCCTCTTTCACTGCTCATCTCTCACTCACAGTAATGCCCTTTGAGGAGTCATTGGCAGGACTAAGTAGATTTGCCATGCCATCCCAATCACTCCTTATATGTTAGGACTTTGATAAACCATTAATACTTTATTAAGAAAAATGCTTTTTTTCCCCCTTGCAGGAAAAGTGACAGTGCAATCCTAACTCCAGATAAGACCACTGAAGGAAAGAACAATCCACAGAGGCACCATGTCTCACCTTTTCTCCATCATGGCCTGGAGGACCTGGCAAGCCAATTTCACCCTGAAACACAGAATTGTTACACTTGGGCAGTTGGAAAGCAGCTATTCTGACTCCTTCTGTGTGGCACGATGATGATGAAGGGTGGGCATTACAGAAATAGTCAGCAGGGACTCTGATGACTAGTAGTCACAGGGAAAAAAAGCATGGAAACCCTGTTGAAACAATACATTGTTTGACTTCCAAAGAACTTCACCAGCCTTGTTTATCCTGACTGACAGTTCACAGCCCTTGTGCTATAATATCACCCCCAACAACAGAATGCCCACGCAGAGATCAGTTCCCATAAGCTGTTTCCTAAAGGGGAGGGCAAGTAGAAAGGACCCTTCATCTTTCCGATAAAGCCTTATCATTGTGGGAAAAGAGATTTTCAGGATATTGTGCATGAGGAGGAGTGGTAGAGGCCAGCAGGACAGTCTGATAGTGCTGGACAGGGAGAATAGGAGCACTGGGGAGGGTTGTGGGGGGGAATTCTGCCTGGACCGCTCCTATGTTTCTCTTAGCTCTACAAGTGCTGAGCTGAGCAAATACCTTCTGTCCTGGTGGCCCTGGAGGTCCAGCCACACCCGGAAGTCCTGGGGGTCCCTAGATAAAGAAAAAAGTCTTTTTCAGATTATCAACAGGACTTTTATGTTTTGAAACCAAACAACTCTTCTGAATTTAAGGGGAAATAATGGGGGAATTTTCCCAGGGACTCCTAAAATTGTGTTTCCTGGAGAAGCCAAGCAATGGGGAGTCCTGAGAGACCAGCAGGCCAGTCCAAAGTGAGTTGTAGATAGGTATGTATTTCTTTATTTCTGCTGTTTTAAGTGATCAGTTTTGTACAGGTTAGGTCAAGTTATACTTATCAATGGTGAAAATATGTCCTCCCCTCCCATCACAGAAAGCATCTGCCACAGTCCCTGCCCCTTCTGAGCACTCCCTGCTCTGAGCAGCATGCGTTACCTCTTAAAGCAGAGAAATAAAGGGCCTGAATAGAATTCAAGTGCCATGACCAGAAGGCAAGATGAGCTGTTCCTTCAGCTGTCAGCTGCCCCAACTTTAACTCCCAACAGCAAAAGCCAAATGTTTTAGCTGCACCTAAATTGTCAGGCCATCTGCTTAGAATGAACATATGGCTACTTGCTTAAAGCAACACAGCAAAGCTAGGAACTCACCATCAAGGCCAAAGTTCTTATTTCCTAGAAAAAAGTAAAAAAAAAAATCAAAAAGGAAAACAGCCATTTGAAAACTAAGCTTTTTCCTGGAAGTGGTTTGTTTTCCACTAACATAACACTGGCCTAAATGAGCAAGGAGCCTACAAAATTAACGAAAGCAAAAAAGTAACTCTGAGTCCCATGGAGCTGTTATTCTACAATTTCCCGGTTTCCCAAGGAGAACCCAGGCTAACCCAGAGCTGAGCACAACCGCTCACTCCCTGCAGACCATTGGTGCACACTCCCGAGGAAGAGAGCTTTAAACTAGATTCGAAGGGGG